AAAAAAAAAAAAAAAAAAAAAAAAAAAAAAAACAAAAAGTCAGCACCGTTTAATGATTCTCCAAACAGCTATGGCAAAAAGGTTACAAAATCCAATCCACTTCAGCTTTTCCCCCCTCAATACTCCATCTACAACTTTGCTAAATCCGGCAATGCAATAAAACATTGGCTGCGGAATTGACAAAAATTTTTCTGAAAGAAGAAAAAAAAGACAGACGGCTACTTTAGATGCCGATTAGGAAGGCCTATATTCCAAGCTTTTCCGAAGTTTTCCAAAAGAATCTTACGATAAGTATCTGAGTCCAGTAAAAAAATTATTGAAAAAGCTTCCTGATTTAGCATTATTCCAGATGTAAATGCTCAAGCCTGAAAAAAACACCCAGAAATTTTTGAAGTCTGACCTAGTTTGCGGAAGCACAGTTCACTAAACTTAATGGTCAACAGAACGAATTTTCAAACCACCAAAGCTACATCCTTTCACCTCCAAGTAGTTACTCTAACTGACCAAGTCATAAATGCACAGAAATACCAGAAGAGTTTGTCTAAATTGAACAAAATTAAGACTTCCACAAATCTTGTAAATCACAAGAGTATACAGTACCTTCCTTTCGTCTCAAAGTTGATCCCGAACTTGAATCTTTATTATAAAGATCTCCCATAAGAGCACTCTGGCTAAAAATGACGCGTTCGCTCTCTCGCTTTTCAAATTTTCGCTCCTCATTTTTCCTTTCTGCAATGGCAGTTAACTTTCGAATCACTCGGCGTTCGTTCTCCAAAACTTTCCTCTCCTTGATCTTTCTTTAAATTACTTATATAATTATCTGTAAGTTTGCAAAAAGACAAATCTCCATGATCAAAAGAAAAAAAAAAGATTACAACAGCACCATCTGAACTCAACAGAAAGGCAGCTTCAATCACTCTCTCATAACACATCCTTGAAACTGAGCCAATCACGCTTTGATGGCATCCTTAAAAATATAAAACACACCTTCCCCAACATTTTTTCTAAGCCAATAAATAGATCTATAACCATCTCCAACCATAAATTCTGACAAACTTTTTTGAAAGCAGTTAATAAAGAAAAGAGAAAGAAGGAGGACTAAACATTATCAAAAAGTGGTCCATAAGACTAGACAATTAAAATCATTATGGCAGCAACTTTTAGTGCAACTACACAAAATTGAAAGAGCTGATAGTTTACCAAAAATTTTCTTCATAACAGTCTTTGAAAAAAGCTTAAAATTTCCAATTGTAGCCCAATCACTAAAGTAGGGCAAAGTTGTGAACTAAATTGAAAAATGCTTTCGGATGCATATTTTTTAATTTTTCAATAATTATCCTTGCGAAAAAGTATGATTGATTAAAAAGTACAAGAAGCGTCATCAAACTGCACAGGGGCAACAGTTTTCCGACGTCAACAGTTCGATAGAAACAAATGAACATAGCATTTAAGCAAGTTTCCCTAAAACTCTGATAGTTTGGTATTGTCCTCCCATATGCAATCCTTTTTTTTTTTGGCTGAAGGGGGGGGGGGGAGAGGGGCGGGGTAAAACGCGACTTCAAAACGGCTGCTTACAAGAAGCAGCAAAACTTCTTCACCTCTGGTTTTCTAAAAAAAGTTATGTTACAGAACTAAGATGTGTTCCAGGGTTCTTCTTCTCATGCCTGCACTGGATTTTTGCTGTCATTCAATTCACATTCAATCCCAAAGCACTCACTTGTTTTGTTCAATGCATAAAGCGTCAGTCACTTCTAACAATTCTGCCTTCTCTTCATAGGCAATAATAGGAAAACATCCAATTTTAAGCAATTTATTTATTTTAAGGCACTCCTAAATGAGGCTGTCTATTCAAAGTCATAGTGATTTAGAAACCTTGCCTAAAGAAAATTCCGCTCCCAAAAGCATAACAAATGTATTCTTAATAGAGAATAAACGCATCCTACAAACTCAATGCTTACGTGTTACTAGCGGGCAAAAACCTAAAAACTTTATTTTCCAAATCTCTGCGAGTGAAATAAATTTCTCAGTACTTTGCAAAAGTTTTATAGTGAATCTAATATAGCTCGCCCTGAATAAAAAAAAACTTTCTGAGCTGTTCCAGAAACCCGGAGAAGTAAGAACCCCTTACCTAAACAGAAAATATAATTTGAGAACATGTCCAGAACTGCACAGTAGGCCTTCCTTACCTTAGAATGATAAAACGTCTCTAACTCTTTTACATTTGGAGCAAATTAATTATAAATCATCAAAGCAGAAGAGTTCAGAGTAAGAATAAACCCTCTAAAACTTTTTGAAAATTTTCATCTAAAACAAAAAAAAAAAAATAAGAAAGCGGTTCATTATTTAACCAATAAAATAGGAAAAATAGCTGGAAAAAAACATACTTGTTCGTATGTGCTTCCCTGCGAAGCTGATCTACTTCATTTTTCGTTTTCGTTATGTAAGAGTGATATAATACTTCACCATCATCCACTCCAACTGTTATTTTCATCAACGAAAGTGTCATCCGAGGTCCCAATTCAACTAACCTAGAAAATACTATTTCAACTTGAACCTCAGCAAACAACATCAAGAGTTAAATCTTACTGACAACAAGTAAACGCTAAAAAAAAGTTCCTTTGCCAGAGGAAACAAATGAAGCACTAAAGGTTATCCCCTAAATTGAAACACAGAATTTCAAAAGCATCCAATGAGCAATTTATCTTCTCTCTTCATCCACCCAAAATCCTTAAAAGAAAATCTAAAAAAAACCTTTTTTCAATTTTAGTACCGAATTTAAGGAACCTGATGTTAGTCTTTTGACCTCGTCGACATCCACGAGCTGAAAGGTCTTGCACTAATTCAACTTCTTTTTGTTCCCCTTCAAACTCACTATCACTCAACAGACCGGGCCTTAAAAACTGAAGTGTTATTAAGTAATAACAAGTGATAAAATCTCGCTCAATACAACTACCATATATAACAACTTCCTTTAAAAAAGCCGTAACTGAAAGAGATCTAACGAAAACTCACTCCAAAAAAAAATCACTAACGTCTTTGTACATTGAAAGGTCCGGAACGTTACCTCGCAATAGCTTCTTAGCGGATTTACTGATTCCAGAAGGAACTGCCTTGATAGCGCTAAATTCGGAGAGCATTAAATAATGAAAGTATTTCACAGCATTAAAAACCTGTTGAGCTAAACGTAGTTCAAACGCCCTTCGGAAAGAAAAAAAACTTTTCACCTTTCTTACAGAAGCAAACTGATAAATATTCTTCAAATGATAATTTAAAATAAAAAATCATTTCCTTATCATAATACAAAAAATGACCCTTGAAATTAACAACAGACACCTACTAGTGGCGAAGTTCAAAAATATCTTCCTCTTTGTTGTAATGAACTAAAAAGCACCGACGTACTGTTTTGAGCTTCACCTTAAAGAAAATCACGGAGTTCTCAAAAAAAAAAAAACTTAATTGGTTGAAAGAACTAGAGCATCTCAAAAACAATAATTTCTGTTTGAAATTAGGGATTGGAAAAGCCAAGCCAAGAAATACGTTACTGCTAAAAAATCTGAAGTCGAGTTATCGCAATTCAAATATTGAAAATCACAAATCACAAAAACTTCGACTACTTTTAATTTTTCCAATTTTCTATAAAGTGACTAATGGTGTAACAGACCGTGTCTACAGCTAGAGGTGGGAACATAAACTGGAACATGGACTGCACTACTTTCAAATGCTTCGGACCGCCATCGTTAAGGCCACTAATTACCACGAGCGGAGCTGCTGTGTACTGATTGTCGTACTGCACTGGCCTTCTCATACTTGACACTACGTGTCTTGCCAGTGTATAAGAAGCAACTAAAAAATAATGACTTATTAAAATAAATAAAAAAAAATGCAGGAAAATCCTAAAGAGTATAGCTGTTCAAATTCGCCTCAAATTTCGAAGAACTAGATCATTTGAAAATGTTTACATTCTAAGAAAAGAAAAGGTAATTATAACACATTTTTGCTACTTGGGACATATCATCGCTCTATAAGATATAGCATTAGTTAAAAAGTGTAAAGCGTGCCGGGGAAGTTTATGAAACCTGTATCTGCAGAGACTGGCATTACAGATCACTTTCCCTTGGCGGCCATCGCCGGTCAAGCAGAGTCAGCCGAACAATATATAAAGGCTTTATTAAGAATATAAACAATCTTTTTCCTACTGATATTTCTGCCTCCATCACAACTGCTAACACAAAGTATCAAAGAAACATAATATGTTTTCTGCACAAAAACACTTCGTCATAACTCACCAATTTCAAAAACAAACAAAAGCTAGAGAAGATTAATAGGCTTAAAACAACTTTTGCCATCATACCGCGGAATGTCAGTGTAGGACCTTGAGGGACTCGGATAATACGCAACATCACTGACTTTTCAGTTCTTGTCAGTACTAATAAATGAGTCACTCCTAGAGCAGCACCATTCACCACAAAATCTTTTAGATTATTCCTTTTGAAGACCTAAATTTCAAATTCCTTTCTCATACTAATTGTTTCACCTGTTGATTTCATTACATTACCTTCAACGAAGATCCCTGACGTTTGAAAGTAAAAAAAAAATTTAGGAACGAGTGAAACAACAACAACAACAACAACAACAACAAGAAAAAAAAACCAAATTTTACTTTTAGTTTTGCAGCTGTGTTTGGCTCCATTATTCTACGAATGTCCAATTCTAACCTTCGCAGATACCTACCAACTTTACCACGGAAAATCACCAACGAATGTGGCTCTATAGCCGACTTTTTCCTACTGCTTTCATTTCGAAGATCCTCTTTCAAATTCCGCAATTCCCGTTCATCTTCTTCGTTCGCAATTTCTTTCTTCTCTATCTGTAATACGATATTCTTCCAACAAATGTTTACGGTAAAAATTAAGACCTGAACTGCCTGACTGAAATCGTGTATAGCTCAGCCAAATCAACAAATCAAATATGTGCTGGATTCGGATCGGCAGACAAAAGTTGTCTGTATACGGTCTAATACTAGTCAAATGAAGGCTGTTAGTGATTTCGACTAAAATCTTATAAAACACTCTACTCCTCATATCAAAAAGTACTTCACTCCAAAGAACATCAAAAAATAAAAAATAAAAAACTTGCACGGCGTTTAAACAACTTTTGGTTGGATGCTTTTCTTCCGTACCGTCCCACTCTTACCATTTCGAAAACGTATCATTTGATCAAAAAAAATGATTACTACGGAAAACAGAGTTCCTGGAAAACGGCCAGTCGTTGAAATGTTTAAAATGTCAGAATAAACAAAAGAGAAAATAAAAGCCCAATATTTTTCTTCACAGCACTTATTTTAAGGCCGAAGATATAGGTCAGCAATAAATCTGTATGGGAACTTCGTTAAATCGCTACATTAACTTCGAGGAAATAAAACTTAGACGATTAAATACCTTTTAGGAGGACTTCTTTGCTGGAAGTTCACCTAAAAATAAGGCATTTGTAGTGAAAAGTGTCCTGAATACAATAGTCCTCAATTCTGCAGATGTCTTGTTTACAGAACTATAATATCAATAAACCAAAAAGTGTAACTGTTTCCGTTTGTTCTCTGATAACCGTGCAATAAATACCCCTATATATGATATTTTGACATCTCTTATGATTTAGTTTAATCTTTGCTTTCCAACTTTATTAGTACTTGCAGATATATTAGCTGACTGCTTGAAAGACCATTAATTTTTATTTCCTCGTTAATATGCTATTTCCATTGGCGATTCAGAATATGCAATGTTCCTGTACTCCAAGCCAACCATTACACATTATTTCTAATTTTTTAAATGTAAGAGAAGTGGTTGGTTCTGGAACTTCGGTCTATTCTCACTGTATTTTTCCACACCTAATTTTAACAATAATGGAACGATATCCACTCTACGGTCTGCCACCTACCTTCTCAACTATTTTATTCTTGGCTAAACAAAGGGCAGATGAAAAGAAATAACTGAAGGACAATGTGTTGGCTTTGTGACTGCGCATTAATCCTTTCCTTTTTGAATTTTAAAAGTTTCTTAAGGTTTACTACACAAAGTAAACCGGGGTTTCAAGAATCTGGCAGTAACTAAATAATTAAACAGAAATCAGCAAATTTTATCTAATCTCATTTTTAAGCGATTTTTATTAATGAGACTGAATCGCAAATGTAATGGACACAGAAGTGTTTAACAACTTTTTCTGGGAAATTTTTTATAAGCCTGCTCTTTCGGTAAGTCGAAAACTGAATTGGACTTTGTGTTCTTTTGGAGATAAAAATTTTTTGAAATCTTCACTTGCCTAATATCAATTTACTTCTGGGAAACCTTCTACTGCACCTGAACATTTAATGCGTTAATAACTTTGTAGTGCACTTTCTTAACCATCCAGCCAACTGTAAACACCATGAGTTATTGCATTATATTTTAAATGCTCACAACAAAGCTCGACCGTTCGCCTTAAAATATCTCTCTGAAAAACTTGTCGGGGTTTTCAAGCCAGAAATCATTTTCTTTGTTAATAGACTTCTCACAATGTTTATGCAACCCAAAGTTATACAGCAACATGGAAGTGGACAACTCTCCACACTCCGCTTTGATACTGTTTAAAGGCTTCTCACCTCAAGCTAAACTGTAACACATGGCTGTTGCACCTTATAGCCACGCTACCGCCGCTCTATTGGACTACCAAAGCACTACAGTAACCTTTTTGCCTTCTCATATTGATGTGACAGAGAATAGTTGAATAGGCTGAAAAGAAGTGGTCGGAGCAGGGAAACGAGGTTTACGGTAAAAATTTTGCTGGTTTTTGTCTATATTTGGAAAGAAAAACGTTGGATATTGTGCGTTGTTGAATTGACTCAAACTGGTTTTACCATCAAATTTGTTTTCTTAACTTTGTCTATGAGTCAGTTGCTATTTTCCATATTATCTTCACTATCATAGCCGACATGATAGGCACCATGTCTGCAAGGTGGAGTAATTCAACCAGAAATATAGTGTGTAGAGAGAGATTGGAAGACGATATATAGATTATTTCATTTTGGTTTGGCGAGGAGCAAAATTATCGATTGGTTGAAGAGACGCAGTCAACGATGTTAGCTCTATGGCTTGTTGGATTATTGAAAGCATCAAATTTGATTTCTGTCCAATAAAATGGCTCAAATGTGTTTTCTTAAGCGGCATGCTTTTCTGAACAGCATTCCATCGTTTTCTTCATTTCTTTCTCCTCTTGCTCCTCCTCCTTCCTCTTCTTCTTCTTCTTCTTCTTCACTTCCGCTCTCAGTTCCTCTTCCTCACTAGCTCAGTTTTTGTCTGCTGTTTTTCATTGACCAATATTTATTGAAATCTTCATTTTTAATTTTACATTTGTATAACTATTTGCTTGTTTATTGCACATTTTAAAATCGATGATAAATTAATTTTTTGAAGTTTCTGTTTTTCTCCATCTCAGTTCATAATTCTAGCGGCTAATAATTCCAGTTTTATTTTTGTAACCGAAAGAAACCATAACTTAAAGTAGAAAAGGAGGTGAAAGTCAAGAGAATATCCCATTACAAAAAAAAA